GCCCGGCCCGAGGCCAGGCTTGACTTGTTAAAAAGAGTTTGGTCCACCAGGCTGTTGCTTGGAGCGGCCCGCAGGCCCACATACCCACCACAGCCCGGTTGGTCCGGGACCAGCTTCAACGAGGGTGAGGTGTTGGGTTGGCAGCGTCCTACGCCTGTAGTACATCAACCCACACAAGGAGAGGCAAGCAAAGGTGGCCAAGCTGTGCCACTCACAGTACCGCCACCCCAACTGCCCCGTCACCGCTCAACAATCAACATCACCGTCAAATTGATGGACTTGCCTCAGGGATGACGAGACGAGGGTAGTAAGGGTAATTTGCATCATGCTAATTTGCATAACAGGCTAAGATAACAAAGGCGAAACTGTCCATCAATTTTAAAAGTAAAATGAAGTCAAAACATACGAAATCATAAATGCAAATTCCGCCGTCTGATAGAAAGGCCACAAACCTTTTCCGGCACTCCTGATGCTATGAACCCCCCCCCCCCCTGTACGCTCGCGTGCGTACACACACACACACACACACACACACACACACACACACACACACACACACACACACACACACACACACACACACACACACGTAGGGGGGCCGGTGGCTGACTGGACAGCACGCTGCACGCGTGATCCTGTGGTCCCAGGTTCGATTCTCGCCGCCGGGGAGAAACAATGGGCAGTTTCTTTCACCCTGATGCCCCTGTTACCTAACAGCAAATAGGTACCTGGGAGTTAGTCAGCTGTCACGGGCTGCTTCCTGGTGTGTGTGTGTGTTTCAATCAACTATTACTAACTAAAAAAAATAGTAGTTAGTAACAGTTGATTAACAGTTGAGAGGCGGGCCGAAAGAGCAGATCTCAACTAGGTGAATACACACAATCCCACAGTTTCAAGTGTAGATATGATAGAGCCCAATAGACTCAGGAACCTGTACACCAGTTGATTGAGAGTTGAGAGGCGGGCCGAAAGAGCCAGAGCTCAACCCCGCAAGCACAACTAGATAAATACAACTAGGTGAGGTGAGTACACACAGTGGTCCGCGCGGTCCCTCTATAGCTTCAACGAGGAGTACCAAGACGCTTTTAGTACCAAGTACCAAGATTAGGAGACCTCACGGAGGCCAAACTCCAATGACAGCACGGTCACATCAACTCGCAGCAAGTCTCACCCAAAGAAAAAACGGAAGGCCTAGAGGTCCACACTAACCCACCAGCTCCATAACAGGTACAGCCAGCCATCCGAGGGTGAAGACCCCCATCCATCCACAGATCTCCAATATCAGCCATTGGTACTGGTAATGGCTTGAAAGAGCCTCCTCCACTTACGGGCTATTCATGCCCTTGCCACCTTTAGGGTGGCTTAATCTTATCAATCACTCAACCTACCAAGATGCACACCAACCAGAGCGGCGCAATACCCGTCACGTGAGGGCTGGAGCAGCTGGACCTTGGAACATGTTTCATGGGCACGCCTGCTGGCGTACAGCGTCTCCCAACCTCTGTGGTATAAGATTTAGTGAAGGTCATAGCAGGTGGCTGTCGGGGAGAAGGCCTGCTTGATGGGGTTCTGGGAGTTGTTCTTCTTCCCAAGTCCGGCCCGAAGCCAGGCTTGATGGCTGGCTTTCCTGGCTACGGCACCTTCGTGGGCTGCTCTGCCTCCGTTTCCGTGGCTGTGCTTGCCACGTTCATAACTACCTTTCCCTCCATAACCCTTCCTCCATTAGACTCGTGGCCATCTTCACCTCAATATCCCTGACCCTGCCTGACCTCCAACTATACCTGTCTCTCTCCTCACTGGCTTCCTGAACGATGTGCCATTTTCAAACTTGCCCTTGGACGTATCTGGGGAAGGGTACGGTTCCGCAGGTCAAGTTCGAACTCAAGTTTTAACGCAGAGGAGGAAATGCGTTAATTTAAAAGTCACGACGCATGGGCTGGCCCCGTGTTTACTCGGAGCCTTCTTACTACCGTTGGCTCACTATAACGCTTCAGTTCCTACGTTTTTGGTTAGGCAAACCAATTGCATTTTTAACGTAGAGGTAAGTCCAGCGAACGATGCCAGGCTTACTCGCTGCCAGTTGCCACATGCCCCGCTGCCAGACGACTCGGGGGCCCCGCTGCCAGACGACTCGGGGGCCCCGCTGCCAGACGACTCATGACCCCCGCTGCCAGACGACTCGTGACCCCCGCTGCCAGACGACTCGTGGGCCCCGCTGCCAGACGACTCGGGGGCCCCGCTGCCAGACGACTCATGACCCCCGCTGCCAGACGACTCGTGACCCCCGCTGCCAGACGACTCACGCCCAAGCTTCGCATCCTCAAACTTTACCGCTTTTTTGTTTTTCCTGCCACAAACCACAGGTGAGAAACAAATAACCTACAATTAAAAGCGACGGTTTAATTAGAGATCCTGGAGGAAGAGGGGGAGGGGAAGGGAGGAGGAAGACTGGGAGGGGAGGAGGAATCAGCGGGGCGGACAGTAACTTCCACTCATCGCGTTTTCCGTGACAGATGCAGTTAACCCACCGGGTTTACGAGCCCCGAGCCGTCCCGTCTCGATTACTCGCCGATTACTCTGCCGTTCGCCGTCACATTTCGTTAATTTCTGGCACGAGGGAGAGGAGGAGAGAGGCATGAATTACAATATATAAGCATGAGATAATGCGGGGATCCAAGCCTAGGGAAACAGGTCCATCTGATGACGTTATTAGCGCCAGACAGAATTACAAGCCTCTCACCCACTACGACAATCCATCTGATCAACATTTTTCCTCATAATTTAAAGTCACTTGGGCTGGACGGTAGAGCGACGGTCTCGCTTCCTACAGGTCGGCGTTCAATCCCCAATCGTCCAGTCAAAGTATTATTTACTTAATTGTTTTCACATTTTCATAATTTCCTCACTCTATCGTATCCTAAGCTCTTATCCTCATCTCTTCCAAGTGCAATATACCTCGAGCACAATATAGTCGTGATGACTTAGCGTACACTATCCTGATAATTATGTGCGTGTGTGTGTGCGTGTGTGTGTGTGTGTGTGTGTGTGTGTGTGTGTGTGTGTGTGTGTGTGTGTGTGTGTGTGTGTACACAGTCTTACACATGGTTGACCCCCCCCCCTGACAAACTCAATGTAATCTACAGGCACACAATTTCAGTGGGCCCCACACACAAGAGGGTAATGGCAAGTAAGGTGGCCGACCCTCCCATCGGCCACGACGCCGCCACCCGCCTCACGCAGGCACGCGCCTAATTACAGGAGAAGGTCCACACTAAGACTCACCTCAAGGCGACTACCACCTTTCTTCTCAATTTGAGAGGCTCAACCACCAGCTTCGCAAATGGACAAACTTGCTTCAAATTAAACTAGTTCATAATTGATGGAACTAGCACAATATGTTGATAGTTTTCAGTAATGAATCACATTTGCTGCTAGCAATAGGGAAATGAAAGATATTCCCCCGTTAGCACGGGAGAATAGTGTTCAACTGGCTAGTCCGGCTGGCTAGTCCACTATAGCAGTCCCAACCTCTCCTCTCGCCTATATGTCGTTTTTCTAACGCATTTGAGTCAATTCGTTAAACATATATGATAGTGCAAATTAAAGCAGTGAAATATAGCACCATCCGTTTTCTACGGATAGTGCTCGAGATGTTAGGTGGGTTGCTTGGGTGCGTACCTGGTTAAGCGAAACAATTGCATTTTTTTACGGGATGGCAAATCTGGCCGAACAATTCAAGAGTGCTTCGCGGTTCTATACGTACACCACTGCACCATCACCAAGTCTTACAATATATATATATAAAAATAACGAGAAGACTTGTGGCTAATGCGAGACTGGTCCTGTTTACCTCCAATTATTACCACTAATATATTTCTGCAAGCAGTTACATGTGCGGTGTGTTCGTCAGGTGCATTGTTGCACGCCGCCGCCGCCACACTCTTGCCAAGACTATCCTGCCTCCACTCTATCCTTCAGAGATCTAAAATAGTCCAATTTGCATACACTGGTACGAGTTCTGGCTGCTTTTATACTGGCTGGACTCTGAGTCGTTAATCTGAACTAAATCTTTCAATGACGTACCTGTTATGTTATGTTACCCATCAATCTACACATATCGGGAGGACGTCATTTCATTGTTGTTATTATATCTACGTCAAGAGACGTATTATCCAGGCGGGCACCAGGCGGGCACCAGGCGGGCACAAACACCATACCCACCACACGCCTTGTGCCTCACCTCTCAAGAGTCCATACAATAATGGTGCCGTCTTGTGGGCACAGACAGATGGACACAGACACACACACACCACTCTCAGTCACACAAGAGTCCAGACAATAATGGTGCCGTCTTGTGGGCACAGACAGATGGACACAGACACACACACAAATCCCCAGCGGGAAATAACAAAAATAAAGGAACCTGCTGAGGATCTGACCCATACGAGGCAGCTCCTATATACATACAAATTATGAACATACAAATTATAAACATACAAATTATACACACACGCAATATATACAAATAATATGCATATTTTATATACAAATACATACAAATTATATATATATATACATATAAATTATATATCAGAGGCATAGAGGCACAAGACTTGGATGGAAGTCATGTCATATTTCAGCCTTCTACGAGGAACATAATACCAACTAAGCTTCCAGTACTTATCATATTAAAGACCAACACTTTCTTGGCAGTGAAGACACGTAAGGAAGGTTGAGGGCGCCGCCACACAACCAGCGCCTGACGCCACACACAGCAACCCTCTATGTCCTCACCAGGCAAGAGGGTTGGGAGAGGGGAGGGGGCTGAGACCTCGTCGTTATCAGGCACTCAGAACGACAAGGTCACAGAAAGGGCGCCCCAAGAACGACAAGGTCACAGAAAGGGCGCCCCAAGAACGAGAAGGTCACCGCGAGCGACGCCACAAAGGTCAGGTGGAGAGCGCTGCATGCGCGGTGCAAGGGTTAGGAAGGGTACTCACCCACAAGCGGCACCATGACGGTGTAGGGGGCGCTGTTGACGAGGGCCTGCACCACGTCCAGGTGCTCAATGAAGCAGTTGGTGTCGGGCACAAGGTACCGCGGCCGGACCTCCATCTCCAGTGTCACTGACCCCTCCAGCAGGCTCTGTATACACCACACACACACACACACTAGGTCAACCATCAACTCTCTTATATTGACCTCGTCAACACGTGTTAATAATGCACTCATGAGTAAATATATTATTACAACTTTCTCTAAAAATTGCCTTTGGCTTATACCTGGGATTGTAAAACTCACACGGGCTAAGAGGAAGCCTGTAAGACCAAACAGTAGAAATTACACTTACTTGTATGTACTTCCTCTAATCAAACTATATTATTGTTCTAATCGTTACAATCGTTACGATTGTTGGATTGTTTCAAGCGAAAGTTAAGGCATATATATGAGTGAGTTTGTTTGGGTGGCAACTGAAAACTACCTGGCATGAGCCAGTTGGTGTGTGTGTAGTCGTTTGTTATACACTAAGGTTGTCAAGAGTGATGTTAGGGTGTGGAGCAGCGGTGCCTCCTCACCTGTAGCTTGCGTTGCTGCCTCTGCTTCCTCTCCAGCACTTTCTTCCTGTGTGTGAGCAGCTTCACGGTGGATGCCAGAGGCGTGTCATCCTCCGCCGTCTCCACCTCCATATCCTCCTCCACCTCCGAGGCGTCACTTTCACTCAGCGAGTCCTCAACCTCCACATCCGACGCGCTGAACGACAGCTGTCAAATACCAAAATCATATACATTCAAGATAGCTTATTATTATCAGTAAATAGCATATCCTTTTGAAGGAAAAGACCAACCAATCCCCATCATAATACCTACTGAGTGGAACACACTCCCTTGCAACTCATCCACCTGTTCCAGTACAGCAACGCCTTCATCTTCATTATATATTAACACCATCAATTGTGCACTCATTAATGACCATATATTACACACAGGTCTATGCTCCTTTTAGTACATGTACTGTTTTGATAGGTATTGTCTTCTGCCTCCTACCCGTACACACACACACACGTACACACACACACACGTACACACACACACCCCCACACACACGTACACACACACACACATACACGCACACACACACACCCACACACACACAGCCCCAAGGTATAGAGAAGACTTACCCTAGCGGCAGTTGGAGTGTCAGGCGGCGAGGTATCAACAATAGAGACGAGGACGTCGCCCTGATCAGTCTTCTGGAGTCGGAGGACAGGAGGGTCGACCCCACACAGGAACTGACACAAGCAGGTCTGGAGCCGCGTGACCCGCGCCCAGTCGCACGCCCGCCCCTACACCCACCAACACCAAGGGGTATACATTAACACCGGCTCTCAACACACACAAACTTTCCCAAGCTAATACCTGGGTATAGTGATTGTAATGCTAATGTTGCAAGTGGCTACTGCAGCTATTATCATCATCAGGGGGAGAGCCCCAAGCCATTACGACTATATAGCACTTGGAAGGGATTAGGATAAGGATTTGGGATGGGACGGAGGGAAGGAATGGTGCACAGTCGGGGGATTGAACGCTGACCTGCAATGAAGCTAGACCGTCGCTCTACCGCCCAGCCCAAGTGGTTGGGGGGTCTACTTTAGGTGGAGGAGTAGAGGTGTAGACCTCTACTTTACTACTACTTACTGATGCCACAATTGTCATTTCTGCTACAACTGTTGCTTCATATTGATGCAGCTCAGCGTGCCGACTGTTGCAGCCGCTGTTGCTACTGCATCGCTTACTACAGATGCAGCTAGCAAGTTGATGGACCTACCGTGTGCGGGGTCAGGGCGGGGGATATACACCTACCGTGTGAGAGTTGAGGGCGGCATATGTAACGGTTGCGTGGGCGGGAAGCAAGGGTTCGTATCCCCTGAGGAACGCGTCCTCGGTGAGTTTGAGGGGCACCATGTCCAAGCTCCCGCCGCCGCCGCCAGCCGTCGACGCTTCCGTCAGCGTCACGTCAGGAGCCCCAAAGCCTCGCATGATGGTGGCAAGCTCCGCCACGCTCCTCCAGGTGTCCGCCCGTCCTTGCCTGTGGGGAAAGGCGCACACGTCATAACCTGTGCTCTAGTGTTGCTCAGCACACACATGCACACACAGAACAGAACAGCCTTCAGGAACCTGTGTAAGGAATCGTTCAGAATCTTGTACACCACATACGTAAGACCAATCCTGGAGTATGCGGCCCCAGCATGGAGCCCGTACCATGTTAAGCACAAGACGAAGCTGGAAAAAGTTCAGAGGTATGCCACTAGACTAATCCCAGAAGTGAGAGGCATGAGTTACGAGGAAAGGCTGCGGGAAATGCACCTTACGACACTGGAAGACAGAAGATTGAGGGGAGACATGATCACTACGTACAAAATCCTCAGGGGAATTGACAGGGTAGACAAGGATAAACTATTCAACACTGGCGGTACGCGAACAAGGGGACACAGGTGGAAACTGAGTACCCAAATAAGCCACAGGGACGTTAGAAAGAACTTTTTCAGTGTCAGAGTAGTTAACAGGTGGAATGCATTAGGCAGAGATGTGGTGGAGGCTGACTCCATACACAGTTTCAAGTGTAGATATGATAAGAGCCCAGTAGGCTCAGGAATCTGTACACCAGTTGAGGCGGGTCCAAGAGCCAGAGCTCAACCCCCGCAAGCACAACTAGGTGTATATAACTAGGTGAATACACACACGCACACACACACATGCATTTCAATGCCTGGCATGCGGGTGGATGGCAGACACCCTCCAGGAGCCAGGTATGAGGAGCCTGCAGCAGCGGCCGGCAGGGCGGTCATGCAGGCGTCTCGCTGTCGGGGGCAGAGCCAGGCGACCCGCCGGCCTGGACCACGACCGTCGACTGCAGGCCCGCGGGAAGAGAGGGGGGGGGGGGGAGGGAGGGGAAGTTTAGAGTGGATATGGCCCTGCTGACCGTTCCACCCAAGTAGCAGATCCATAGTCCAGGTCAGCGTTTGAGAGCCTCCGAGGAGGCCCCAGAGTGGCAGCACCGGGGCAAGTGTGCAGGCAGGAAGTGTGACCAAAGTGGGTGTCCAAAACTGTAAAACCCAACCTACCGTCCCCTTTATCCCACCTTGGCTTTAGCAACTCCTAAAACATCAGTACAACACAAAGACAACATTCCAAAGTCTGCACCAAACTCAATCTCAATAGCCTCAATGTTTGTCTCAACACTGAACGGTAGATTGCTACCCAAATGCCCCAGCGATTTATACAGATGGATCTGGCATCATCATGAACAACGTGCCCTCAGTCACTAGCGCTGTATGGATACCGGAATACCATCTCCAGCAGGGATGGCGGTTACCAAACCAACTATCTATTTTCACAGCTGCATTATATGCCTTATATCAAGCTTATATGTGTGTATCCTCTACCCAATGGGTGCCAGCGCATTGTGGTACACTCCATAATAAATTTGTATATCAACTAGCCAAAGCAATGCACAACACGCCTCACATTACCCGTCATCCAATTCCCTATGTTGCACGTAAAGGAGCCTTCAAAGATACCATCACCCAAGATTTTGTAATGAAATGGAAAACGTCATGCTCACCTTTGTACTCTGGGTCCATTAAAAAGAAATGGGAAACTTGGAAACATGTCAGATATAAAAGCGAAGAAATTGATGTAACGATGACCAGATTAAGGCTGGGACACACCAAACTGGCAGCACACAGCTTTAAGTACAGAACAGACATTAACGAACTCTGCATCCACTGTCAGGTGACTGAAACAGTCGAACACTATCTCCTTCACTGTGTCCGACATCATAGTGCCAGAGTAAAACTTCAAACAAGTGTTTATCACACTTAAAATATCTATTACCGTCAACCATATATTAGGAGGAGGTGACCTCTCGTTTCAGGAAAAATATCAAATAGTCAAAACACTGGCTAAATATTTCCAGTCGACCAACACATTGGGTCACATCTGACCCGTGCCACATTTATATATATATACCTGGCGCCACCAGCAGCTGTCTAACTCCCAGGTACCTATTTTACTGCTAGGTGAACAGGTGCATCAGGGTGAAACAAACTCTGCCCATTTGTTTCCGCTTAACCGGGGATCGAATCCTGAACCTTAGGACTACGAATCCTAAGCGCTATCCACTCAGCTGTCAGGCGCCCCCCTTTACAGTACAGTACAACACAAGAAACAATTAAAACCTGGTCATTCTCAATATTAACGCGTCTCTCAACATTAGTACTCGAGCAGTCATCGCGAGGTCAACCCTTCGTGCAAACTGCTCCTACCATCAAGAAGAAGAAGAGGGGGTGGTGCTGGGAGCTGTGCGAGGAGCCAGTGGCGCCACCTCGCAGAAGGGGGTGGTCCAGGTGGCTAGAGGAGGACCCCCTAGAGTGGGGCCGTGTTGCAGTAGTGGTGTGAAGGGCCACTATTCAAGGGCGTGTGACCGTCCCAGCGAGGCTGTCAACCTGGCTGTAGTGGTGGAAGTAAACATGTGTAGCGTCTCGTGTGACGAGAACAAACAGGAAGCCGGGGTTCCACCGCTGTTCTGTGGCGGGGAGGCACCCAGATGCGGGGAGTCGAACCCCCGTCGACGTTGTGATTTATATGAAGAGTGGGGCGAAGATAAGCCCTGCGTGTAAGAAGATCCTGCCCGAGAGTTATGATGAGCAAGCGACCTGAGGCAACGGCAAGGGTGGGCTGCTTCCTGGGGCCAGCCGCGGTACCACTCCACCAGCTGCTTACAAAGGATAAAATACCTGACATCCTTGCACTGTATCCATATTTCGCTTCCAGAAGATAAACAACACATGAGATTATAAAGCAAGTAGTGTATCGTGAAGACTCACGGGGTGTGATGGATAGATGTAATTGTTAAGATAATAATCTCCGTTGAGGTCTGATGAAGACCTTTTGTGCCCTCTGTAATCCTTTTTTGCGCTACCGCTCACAGGATGAGTATGGGGTGCACAATACTCTCCTCCGGCGGCAGCAATCAAATGAAGGTGGAGCTCAATTCGGAGGAGGGAGTGAGGACGGTGATGGTGGATGTTTACCCTAATATACCTGGTCAAGGTACAGGTATGGTAGAGGGTAATGACCTGCGTGGCCAGGATATTATGCCCAGCAGGAGACTGTAAGCGACAGTAGCGAGGAGCCGCAGTACAGACGACAGAGAGGGAAGGTCCTGCCACCACCGTGGGCGAGTAAAGCCAGCTCAGCGGGTGCGCGAGGGCGGCTTGGGGGGGAGTCACGACACAGTACACCGACAAGCGGTGAGGTAAGGGATGTACTCACCTGGTTGAGTACTTCCCCTGTCCGACCCAGCAGGGTGACAGGGGAAGTAGTACCCCATTCCCCAGCCTCCTCCGTCATAAGGGAGGTGGTAGTGGTGGGTACCAACGAACACAAATCGCCAGAAAGAGAGAGAACATGTGGTCAAAACAATGATATGTATCAATGTTTTGTATAAGTTATAATGTAATAACTGTTATAATATATAATGTCTCTGTTATAATGTATAACAGAGACATTAGACAATTTGTTTTTAGTGTCAGAGTAGTTGACAAATGACGAATTAGGAAGTGATGTGGTGGAGGCTGACTCCTTACACAGTTTCAAATGTAGATATGATAGAGCCCAATAGGCTCAGGAACCTGAAGCCAGATACACGAAGCAGTTACGCAAGTACTGACGAACGTGTACATCTTTCCTCAATCTTTGACGGCTTTGGTTACATTTATTAAACAGTTTACAAGCATAGAAACTTCCCAACCAACTGTTGTTATTGTTATAAACAGCCTCCTGGTGCTTCGGGGCTCCTTAACCGTTTAATAATTGTAAACAAAGCCGCCAAAGATTAAAAAAAGATGTACAGGTTCGTAGGTACTTGCGTAACTGCTTCGTGAATCTGGCCCCTGTACATCAGTTGACTGACAGTTGAGAGGCAAGACCAGAGCCAGACCTCAACCCCCGCAAGCACAACTAGGCGAGTACACACACACACACACACACACACACACACACACACACACACACACACACACACACAAACGTGGGGAGCAAAATTAGTAGATGTTATAGACAGGAATTTCCTGACACAACATGTGAAGGAAGACACAAGGGAAAGAGGAGGAGATGCACCGAGCCAATTAGACCTGATTTTCACCCAGAACGTAGAAGATATCGAGAATTTAGAGCATGAAATACCTCTAGGGGCCAGTGACCATTGTGTCCTAGTCTTTGACTACATGATGGAATTCAAACTTATGACCATGGGACAAGAGATCTGGGAAAGGAGAGCTGACTACAGGAAAGGGGACTATATGAGGATGAGGGACTATCTGGGTGAAGTGCAGTGGGAGGAAGAAATTAGAGGAAAAACAGTCCAAGATATGATGGACCTAGTCATACAGAAATGCCAGGAGGCCGAAGAGAGATTATACCAACGGTAAAGGGAAAAAATAAGAGGGAATATAATAACCCATGGTTTAATAGACAGTGTCAGGAAGCAAAAATGGCCAGCAGGCGGGAGTGGAGGAAGTACAGAAGACAAAGAACAGAGGACAACAGAAGCAGATACAACAGAGCTAGGAACGATTACATTAACATAAGACGAACATCGGAAAGGGACTATGAGAACGATATTGCAATCAAAGCGAAAAAACAACCTAAGTTACTACACAGTCATATAAGAAGAAAAATGTCGGTGAACGACCAAGTGACAAGACTAAGGAAGACAGAGGGGGCATATACTGAAAGTGACAAGGAAATCTGCGAGGCACTGAATGCCAGTTTCCATGGAGTGTTCACTACCGAGCCTGAGCAGCTCCCATTGTTGGAAGGGGTTACCCTAGATGAAAGACTATCAGATATAGAGGTGACAGCAGAGGAGGTAATGAAACAGTTGACAACTCTAGATGCAACTAAAGCAGTTGGACCAGACAAAGTATCACCGTGGATACTAAAAGAAGCAGCACAGGCCCTCAGCGTGCCTCTGGCAATGATCTTTAATGAGTCACTTATGTCAGGAGAATTGCCCAGTTGCTG